CCCTCTTCAATTTAAAATTTGAATTTTGAATTTTACGTATCAAATTCAAAATTTGAATTTAGAATTTTAGTAAAACTAGAAACTAAGTTGAACTAAGTTACACCATTGTCGAAATACAATTTGGTACAATTATGTCTTAGTTTTACCAAGTTATACATTTGTCAAAGGTACAACTTGGTAAAACTAGAACCTAGTTACACCAAGTTATACAGTTTTACCAAGTTGTACATTTGTCAAAGGTACAATTTGGTAAAACTAAAACCTAGTTACATCAAATTATACAGTTTTACCAAGTTACACGAAAGTGAAACTACAAATCCAGAAAATTTTGGTAAAACTAAACCTAGTTGCACCAAGTTACACGAAAGTGCAACTTGGTAAAATTGTTTTTCTGGGTTTGTAGTTTCACTTTCGTGTTTTAGATTAGAAAACTGAAAATGAAGAAAATAGATGGAGGAAGAGACAAATCTAGAAAAATCGGAGACGAATCTAACAAAAATGGAGACGGATCTAACAAGGACAATACATAAAAGAAGAGAAGACGAAAGAAACGAAAGAGGCAGAGGTAGAGGCGAAGGTGGAGGTGGAGGCAGAAGTGGAAGAGGAAGATGAAGCAGAGGACAAGGAGGAGGAAGATGACGCGGAGAAAGAAGAGAAAATGAATAAAGTTTACCAGAATCCTTTAACTAAAAAATATAATTCGAAGAAGAACAAGACGAAGAATGAGAGAAAAGTAAAAGAGAGAAAGTGTTTTGAAGAAAACAAGAATGGAAGAACGTGTTAGATCTGTAGAGATAAGAATAAAGGTTTAGTGGCATGATCTGAATAAGTAGATTAATTAAAGGCTTATTTGGTTTTTAGTCAATTTTCGAATTAAAAATAAATGAAAAAGAAAAGTAGAAAAAGAGAAGAGTATATGCGAATAAAATTTCTGGTCAAAGAGTATATCAGCAATTGACTCATCATATACTACCCCCGTTTCAGAATATTTGTCATTTTATGCTTAATTTTTTGTCACAAGTTAAGTATCATTTTAGATTTTCGAGGTAAAATTTATTAGTTTTATATAATATTCTATTTTTCTATTAATTGAAAAGTGGTTAGGTGTATAACTAATTGTGTTTTTCATTTTGAAAATATGTAAAATTAAATATTTCATTAATCTGTGTACAAAATCTAGAATAACAACTAAAGTGAAACGGATGGAGTATAACTTTTTATATCTCATAGTCATGGATTAAGTGTCAAGTGTTAGTGCGAAGAATAAAACTGAAATAAACAAACACCGAATCTTTCCTTTTTTTTCCATCTGAAGTTTCAGTGAAACATTAAAGGGTTCCGATTACAAACATAAGAGCCTTAAGGAACAAGGCGACAACCCAGAACGAAGGTAGGATAAATGCCTTGCTAAAAGCCCAAAATCAACTACTGTACCTATAAAACACTCTCAGCCTACTAACAGAAACGGATCAGAGGAATCAGTTTTCATTCACGGAAAATTCAAAAAGCCATGAAGGAGGCCCAGTCGCAACCAGGGCCGAATTTAGAAAAGAGTATTTGCACTGTGTATACACACAAAACCACCAAATTAGGTATACTAGATCTTTTTGCCGCGCTACGCGCGGCTAGTCTCTTATACAAAATTTTTGATCATATTATATATATGATATATTATATAGTTAAAATTATAACTAAAAACAGAAAAAATAGAATGTTAGATTAAATAGAAAAAGCTAACGATTGACAAAATCATTGTAGTTAATGCAAATAAGAGTTTCATAAGTAATAGTAATAATGAACAATTTTTTTTTATAAAATATAAATTTTCTAGTTTTTTAAAACATAACTCTCATTTTAATTTTGGTATAGATAACTTACATAATATTTACTGTAATATATATTTTAATCTGTTGTTTTATATTTTTATCTTCAAAATTTTGGTAGAAAGTAATCACTATCAAAATCTAAAACTAAGTATATAAAACGAATTGAATTTTATTTAAATTTAAAATAATATTATATACATTTAAGATTGTATATAATTTGTTGTTAGTAATAATGTTTATTTATTTTATTTATTTATAAATTTTATGATATTAATTTATCTTTGCCATCAATGTTTTGAATACCAAACCGAATATTTACTTGACAGTGCAGTTAGGTCAATAGTCACACCGGTCCAACTGGATTATAAATTTAATTTAATTTTATATCTATATATATATATATATATGTATAACTATAGAATTATTTTATAAGACTTTTTATCATTGTTTGAAGGTAAAATGATACTGAAATAAAATAAAAACTTTAAAACCAATATAAAATATAATGAAAACTAATTTATTGAATTGATATTAAAAACAATACACGTTCATATGAAAGTATTTTAAAATTTTGCATTTTTAAATTGAATTTGAAAAAAAAATCAGGGTTTAATATCAAATTGGACCATTGGTTTTAGCGTGTGACCGGTTCTTAAATCGAATTTTTTGGTTTTTAGCACAACTCAAAATTGTTTAGAAGAGAGAGTCATAATTCAACCAGCCGAATCCAGTTTTTAAAACACTTCTTGTCACATAACATCGCTTTTTAATAACAAACAACAAAATCATTTTACGCTTTTAATAACAAACAAAAAAAAATCATTTTAGGAGACATACTTTTATTATGAATTTATGTGAAAAACAATATACATATTTAACTGAAGTTGTTATTTATTGTTTAATCATTTAGAAAATAATAATTGTCATCTTATTTTTTTTTTGTTTTCAAGTTTCTAAAGACTATGCAATATGAACCAAAATATAAGTTTATAACAAAGACGTACAAATTTATGTAACCACCATAATTATATATTTAAGAAAAGATAGTCATTTGAACTTGAGAAAATGAATCTTTTTTTTATTTAAAAAGAACTGATACAACTATGTTTTCTATTCTGCTATGTCATCGACAACCATCATAGATACTCCCTCTACAAATACGATAGCAATGTTAAAAAGGTATTATTAACTTAACTATAGCACTACATTTTTGTTATAAATTTATTCGATTTACATTTTCGTGAAATCTTGTAGTTATTATTTGAGAAGTGATTTTGTCACTTGTCATCACCATATTAATTTTGAAAGAAAAAAAATAACATGACATACTAACAAATATGACATAGATTGATGCTAATTATGATATAGACGTTTACATTAATTATTGTTTTATATTTTTGTTAAGTTTCTAAAATATAGTAATAACTCAATTACCATCACTAATATAACAATAAATAATATAATAGTAAAATAAAATAGAGTAACATTTTACGATTTTTGAAATATTCTTAAATTTATTTTTATAATTTTATAATTTACAATTCTTAGTACTAAAACAAACTTCAAAAAGTTATACAATTCTAAAAAAATAGAAAATCCCATTACTATGAGTTTTTTTTAAATATCTACAAATTGTAGAAATATTATTTAGTTTAAATTTTGATATTATATACCTAAAAATGTAATAATGTTTTTAGAATTTTTAATATATTTTAAACAAAAACAATAGATAAAAATAGTTCTTAGATTATAATTTTAAATATATACATAAATATATATATATATTTTAATGTAAATTTATAAAATTATATGTTATCTTAATTTTTATATAGTTAAATTAAAATTAAAGTATTGTACGGAAATAATAAAATCTAAAAATGAACAAACATTTACTTATAAATATGATTTAAATTTTCAAAAAAATTATTTATGCACTTGGTGCAAGAAAACACATAGTGATAGATATTTCTACAACAAACCAAAATCATTATAATTAAAAATAATGATAACCAAGTGATTTTATTGCACCATGATCTATGTAAGCCTCTGTAACCTATGTTTGTCGCCAAGAATCAACCATTGATGGATCTTCTACCCATTTATGGAAACGTCTACCAAAGCCGATATCATTTGCTTCTAGAAGTAGTTTTTTGTAATTTCTGCTTCTAACTCATTGACCTCCCAAGCATCGTTAGCAAAATATTCACCTGAACCCCCAGAGAAGAAAACGGAGTGAATCAAGCTTATACAGAAAACCAGGTTGATAAAAACACGTACCTATTGAATCTCGCCGGAGAGCAGTGAGGTGAGCATCACTGCAGCAAAAAGGAATGATAGTTAGTAGAAGTTCAACTTTTAGGATCGGTTAGTTATCAAAGGTGGAACTTTTGTGGACCTTCCAAGAGCTTTAGCAAGATCTGCACAGAGAGATATTATGTATGTAACCTTGGGGCATACAACTCGGAAGATCAGATTTTGTCTGCAAAAAGAGAGACAATAGATCTTTTGTGAGACCTATACAGGAACACTGTTATCAAATTGCTTATGCACTGTAGAGAAAATGAATTAAACATGTCATCTAAACTGCGTTTGACGTCAAACTGGAAAATCGAGATACGTCTGGGAGAAAGCTCCACGGTTTCTCCTCTTCTTGCCTTCATACAGTTTCTCACCTCCAACCTAAACAGAAATAACAGTTTAAAAAGATAGTTAACAATGCAATCCACGATAAGGCCCTGTTTTAGACTTTGAAAGATTTAGCAAATGCTCACTTTTCTAGCTGAGAACATTGGAGGAACTTGCCATATCTCGCCAAGAAAAGATGTCAAAGCTTTCTTAATGTCATCGTCTTTAATATGTTCCCAAGACTCTCGTTGAATCACCTGCACCAATATCACATTGAGCAAACTCTAATGAGCCAGCACGAACTAATGAACAATGAAAGCAAGGAAAGGTGCCGTAGGAGTTACATGAGAGTCAGCGTCTAATGTTAAAGAACTCCGCTATAACCTTTGATCATCCCTTTGTATCTGCAGACACAAAAGGGCTTTTGTAGCTATTCTTTCTATAAATCATCATAGAGAGAAAATTTTCTGGATTAAGGAAATCACAAACCTGTCAACCACCTTTGTGGCCTGACCAACACAAACGATTAAAAGACCAGTAGCCATAGGATCAAGTGTTCCAGCATGACCAACCTGAGATATACTAATTATCTAACCACCAAAAAGATACATTTTCCAGATCTTGGATTGGACAAGAAACTCGATACCTCTTTTTCTCAATGGAATCTCCAGAAGATCCAAAAAGGACGTCCACTGGCTAAAGACAATGCTTTTCTCTCCCGTGCCACTGCCAGACATCCGAATTTTCTCTAAGCATTTGATCAGCTCTGAAACCTTTGAAGACTCCTTCCAGTTCTTTACAACATCAACACGGAATATACTCTCCGTTGGGCATGAGATAAGCTCAGTTTTCTTCAGCACTGTCCTGCAGATTGGCAATAGACCACAAGACGTAGAGCGCCAGCTAGTAAGGAGACATTCACGGCACATTTTGTGAGCACAAGGTGTGAGAATGGGATCATCTGCAGACTCCAGACATATTGGACACTCTTTGATGTTGCCGTCGCGTATGTCTTGGATAACTTCTTCGATGTATGCCCGAGAGGGAGCTTTCTGAGATACTGAGTCAGAGTTGTTGTCAAGAAATCTCCTTGCGAGGCTGTCTAAGTCAGCGTACTGTTGTGAATCTGCCCGGCTGCAATTATTCAGAATGTATTAGAAATTACTTCCAAGGGATACCAAACCTACTACTAATGTGTTATCTTCTGAATCTTTCTATGTACCTCATAAAGAGAAAAGGGTGGTTGCAACATTGGCGTAGACGGAGGAGGAGCTCTAAGATGTTTGCATAGTTGTGAAGAACTCTTCCTTGTGCCACAAACTGGTCAAATTGGACCTGTTTCTAAATAAAGAAAGAAGGTTATGCATTTACCAAGACATTGTCAATCCTTGAAACAGATTATGATTAAGATTTTATTGTGGTTGAAGCCTAGAACTATAACACTTACTTTATATCTCTTGAAAAGGGCAGTATAGAAGTCACGTTCTGCTTCAGATTGTTCACATTCGATGACATGAACATCAGTTGAGATGAACGTTAAGCATAAGACATGAATAAGAAAAAGATTGTAGCAGTGAAAAGCATCTACCTTCCTTCTTTATCCCTCGTCTCCTTTGTTCTTCTCAGCATCAATGGTCTCAAAATCGCCTTGATCAGCTTTAGTCCTCGTGGATGGGTTTAATAAGAAAGAACCTTTTTCACTTTGACTATTCGTCGTAGTTTATCAGAAACAGTGAAAGAAGTCCATTCTACAAACAACACCACCATAACCAAATCACATAACACATTACAAAACGCAAAACAAAGAGTGAGAGAGACAGAGACTAACCTTTGGGTTTGTTCACCCAAACCACAGTACCATTAGGACCATCCCATCTAGGAGGAAGCTCACCGTTTATCTGCCTCGGCATCGTCGGCGGATCCAACGGCATGAACGCTGGCTCCCGTATCCCCACCGGTTTCGCCTTGGGAGTTTCTGAGTAGCTGAACTGGAACTCGAAAGGAGCGGAGGGGAGCTTGTAGGAGATGCCGGATTCGCCAAAAGGAGGAGATGAAATCGTAACAGAGAAGTCGAAAGGTATGAGTACATCATCTACTTTCTATATTTCTCCGACTAACCAATTCTGAAACTGTAAATAACCAAATAGCTGATTATAATTTCGGACCAAAACCATATCTGGTTGCAAATGTCTAAACCGAATCCGACGTGGCAGATTGAAGCTATATTATTGGGTAAATATAATTGCACATGTGGACACTGTGATAAGGCTTTAATAAGACCTTTTAATAGAGTAAAGATACCCTATTTTTCTCTATCTCTCTCCTCCCCATTTACCACTTTTTCCCTCTCTTTTATGGTATCTTATTTAGCTAATTCACCCTTCAGAAAACAACTTAACATGGGGCACAATATATAAATTTATATTGTATTAAATATAATTTGAAAAATAAGTAAACTATAGCTTTTAAAATACCTTGGTCATAAAGTGGTTGATATTTTTTTCTCTCCCAGGCACATCTAGCGATGCAAATCTTTACCCACTGACCTCTCACCCATGCACCCTTTTACCCAACATTTTCTTTCCTTTTTCGACAAAAAGAAACCTGCAACCCCTTGACTTTTTTCAAATTCTTTCATTTTTCATCTTTATCCAGTGGTCTTCGTGGTAACCTCACCGGAGTTATGACGGGACGACGACCGCCGACGTTCACAAACCACAGCGGTGTGGGTGTGCTCGGTCAAAACTCTCCCTAATCCCTTGCTCTGTGCGGCTCCCCTCAAGTTTCCCTCTCCCCCTCTTTTTTTTCCTGGTCTCACAAAAAACCCTTTATCCAAGCTTTTTCAACAACCATGGCTTTCAAATCTCTGCACAAGAACTTGAACTCTACGGAACCTCAGACAGAAGAATGGAATCAGTTTTTGCAGTGGACCTACACTTTTTAACAGTGTTGTGGTCTCTGTTATAAAACTGAGATCCAGTTTTTCTTTCTCCTAACTCACCTCTTTTCTTTTTGTTGGGTCCAAGCTCCCACAAAAGGAAGGAGGTGTTTCTGCAACGTTTTTACGCAAGTATTGTACTCAGATCTCGACCCTCCTGTGTATCCTTTGTACCTGCCTCCAAAAGGCTGCGAGATAAGATTCAATCATGTCAAAAATTACCAACACCCATTTGCAAAACCCTAACCAGTATCAAGAGGATGATGATGATGATTTGGTTATCTTACCAAATGTGGATAATTCTGAGCTTATAGCTCAGTTTAAGCTCAGCCTCGTCGGGAGGCTTTTCAACCGCGACCGCAGAAATGTTGAGGCGCTAATCTCTCTTCTCCCACGGCCAAATATTTGGGATGTGGAGGGGAGAGTTCGTGGCCTGGACTTGGGAAATCATCGCTTCCAGTTCGATTTTGACTCGGAAGAGGACCTACTGAAGGTTCTCAACAAAAGACATGCCACTTCAACAAATGGTCTTTCTCACTCGAACGCTGGGCGCCCCATGTGGGGGATACCTTCCCAAACTCCATTACTTTTTGGATTTGTGCTATAGGTATTCCCACCCACTTCTGGCTGGAACCTATTTTCAGGACTCTAGGAGACAGATTAGGCGAGGTGGGACTCATCGAAGCAAAGACTGCCAAGTTTCAGGTTAAAATCAATGTTGATTTACCTCTGAAATTTGCATTGAGAGCTCAAATTCCCTCTGGAGAAATTGTAGCAGTGAAACTGGAGTATGTTAATCTCCACCGTTGGTGTTTTCACTGCCGTCATATCTCCCATGAAGCTGACTCCTGTCCGGAACTCTCTGAAGAACAAAGAAGAACATTTAAACAAACAAGAGAAGCTGAAAGAGATTACGAGAAGCCTGCTAGAAAAGACACTAACCGTAATGGAGAACCCTCAAGAAGACCTGCTAATAAGGAGGGTAAGGCGGGGACTTTTGAGGATAGACAGACAATGGTCGATTCTCGCAGGGATAACAGGGACAGCGTGTGGAAACGCATGGAACCCCGGTTTAAAACCCGCGATGAACACCATTCTGAATCTCGCTTTGATCGCCACCCTAGAGACAGAGAATTTGTGGAGCGTAATAAGTCCTCTTTTGACAAGAAAACTCAAGACCCAGGAGCTTACAACAAGCGACGCTATGATGATTCCTATCATTCTAGCAAGCAGCGTGAAAAGGAAAAAAGATCAGAGAGTGGAACTGACTTTAATCGGAAGGCTGTGTCTGAGCAACAAACGGGAAGCAATTTGATGTTAGAAGGCCACACCTCTGAACAACCTAAACTGCCTCCACGCATAAAGCCGACAGGGGGGTTGATGCGGGAGCTCTTTACACTTCATCATCTCCTGAACATGTTAGGGAAAGGCCATTAAAACTCTCTTTACAAAAAATTTCAACAATTGAGCCAAAGCTTAAAGGTAAAGTATCCGACCTGGAAGACTCCTCTGATGCTGGAAGCTCGGCAAAAAAGAGCTTGAAGTTCGATGATGGAATCCAACCACCCTCTCGCGGCGTCACTCCTCCAGCTTTCCCGACCACGGGAACTACATCCCATAAAAGCTGGTATGAGCAGGCAGAGGAGGAAGAAGAGGAAGCCTTGAAGCAGAGTGTCACAAAACAGAGTTCCCATCAATCCGCAGGAAAAGTTTCGATGGACCAAAACACAGCGATGGATGATCCAGAGGCTGAGAAAATTCTGGATGAGGAAGACTGGGCGGAAGAGGAAGGGAATTATGAGGATGACGATCTGATGGATGAGGATGATCTTTTATTGGAGGAGGAAGAGGAAGCTTTCGATCCAGGACCCACGAAGAAGAAGGTTCCTTCGCCCTCGGGGACTCCTTCCTGGTGGAAGGGAAGCCCGGATTCTGATAACCCACCGGCTGCAGGAGTTGCGACAGCTAAGAATAAGGAAGAAAAGGTGCGCATCTCCGCTACGACGCCGACCAAGCCTGGGACATCGTTGTCGTCGAAGAAGAAAGCTTCTCCAAATTCTATGGCAGCTGGGCTTTCTTTGAAAAAGAGGAACCTCTTGTTGGGCCGGGCTTTGCCCAAAACAACAGCCTCACCATATTTCACAACTGAATCTCCTGGGCTTGCACCTCCTTTGGGCAAGAGTTCATTTCCAGGCCCGGAAAAATCTGCAAAAGGGGCCCAAAAAAGCCAAATCAAAGCAACAACGGTGGGAAATCAGAAACCACCGAAGATTCCAAGATGAATACTATTGCGTGGAATTGTCAAGGGGCGGGAGGCACCTTGACGAAGGAACATCTCAATGAATTGTACTACTGTTTTTTACCTAAGTTTTTATTTCTTTCGGAGACCAAAAACAATCGATCCTTTTTGCAAGATGTGCAAGTTTCTTTTGGATATGACCATGTTTGTACCGTGGACCCTGTTGGTCGAAGCGGAGGTCTAGCTTTGTTTTATATGGATGATCCCTCGGTTTGTATTTTATATGCCGACGAGCATATGATCGATATTAAAACAAAACTTGAAGGACATGACATTTTTATGACTTTTGTATATGGCCACCCTGATACCAGATATCGCGATTTGGTTTGGGAACGACTATCACGCATGAGTACCACGCGGAGTGGGGCATGGTTCATGGTCGGTGATTTTAATGAGCTCACAGGTAATCATGAGAAGAGGGGAGGAAGACGTCGGTCAGAAAGTTCTTTCCTCCCTTTCCGAGTCATGCTAGAAAACTGTGGAATGCTCGATTTCCCATATAAGGGCAATTCTTTCTCATGGGTCGGTAGGAGAAAAAATGGGAAAGTAAAATGTAAATTAGATAGAGCCGTGGCAAATGAGGATTGGCATGCCCTTTTCAACCATAGCATCGTCGAATACCTACAACTATGGGGGTCGGACCATAGACCTATTCTCACAAGAATCCAATCCATCACTAGAAGGACAAGGAAAAGTTTCAGATTCGATAAGCGATGGATAGGGAAACCTGGTTTTAAGGAAGCGGTAACTTCGGGATGGGGAATTTTTGATGAAATCCCAATCCGGAATTTTACCCAAAAAGTTACCTCTTGTCGACACAGGATTAGCACCTGGAAGAAAAATAACCCAACCAATTCAGCTGTTTTGATAGAAGAATTAAAAATCAAGATCGACCGCACTCAAGATGACGATAATTCTACGACAGAAGATCTGGAAGACTTAAGAAGACAGTTGATACTGGCCTTCAAAGAAGAAAATACTTTTTGGGAACAAAAAAACCGGGATCAATGGCATAGATATGGGGACAGAAATACCAAATTCCACCATGCCACTACGAAGCAACGAAGAACCCAGAATCGAATCATAAGCATTAAGGATAAGCATGGGCGGTTGGTAGAGAGTGAAATCGAAGTGGAGAATGTGGCTATTCAATACTTTCGAGATCTCTTCTCTACTTCCTCGCCAACAGAGGTGGATACCTCCCTACGTTTCATCTCAGAAAAAGTGTCTCAGTCCGACAATAGGCTACTCTTAGAGGAACCGTGGGAACATGAAATTAAAAGAGCCCTTTTTGAGATAAATCCGGACAAAGCCCCTGGACCGGATGGTATGACTAGCAAGCTCTTCCAGAAATTCTGGACGGAGATGAGACAAGATATTATCAGACTTGTACAAGACTTCTTTGCAACCGGAAGTTTTGACCCGTCTTTGAACCAGACGAATATCTGCCTCATTCCTAAAAAGAAGAAACCTCGAGAGATGTCTGAGTTCAGACCTATTAGTCTTTGCAATGTTAGCTATAAGATTATATCTAAACTTTTATGCAAACAACTTAAGAGGCTGATGCCACGACTGATCTCAGAGACACAATCCGCCTTTGTGGCAAAACGATTGATTACCGATAATGTTCTGATAGCACAAGAGAACTTTCACGCCCTACGAACAAATAATCGATGCAGAGTAGACTTTATGGCCATTAAGACGGACATGAGTAAAGCCTATGATAGAGTGGAATGGAGCTTCCTGACAACGTTAATGTTAAAGATGGGCTTTGATGCACGACTGGTCGACCTCATTATGTGGTGTGTCACGTCGGTCTCATATCAAGTCCTAGTCAATGGACAACCGAGGGGACGGATCATACCAAGGAGAGGCCTGAGACAAGGAGATCCCTTATCCCCCTTCTTATTCATCCTGTGCACGGAAGCCTTAATTTCGCTCCTAATTGGTGCGGAAGCGGAGAAGAAAATTATAGGACTCCGAGTGGCCCAGGCAAGCCCAAGGACCTCCCATCTTCTCTTTGCAGATGACAGTCTCTTTTTCTGTAAGGCAGAAGTTAGCCAATGCAAGGAAATTATGGACATCATTAGCATCTATGGACAAGCATCAGGCCAAAAATTAAATGCGGCGAAATCTTCTATGTTTTTTGGGAACCGTGTGGATCACTCCCGGAAACAAGAGATAAAAGACGTTCTGGGCTTCTCAAATGAAGGCGGCATGGGAATGTACCTTGGATTACCTGAACT